GCCGCTAAGGATTTCATACAGGAGAGTTGGGCAGCTAGTGAGGTGCATTTGAGGTTAGAAGTCTCCTTAAATAAGCCCCAACCCCGGGAATTTAGGGTTTCCTCGCACAACACCAACTCGGCAAGTCGGCACACTGACTCGTCGAGTCAGCTCATTAAACCTACACGGATGACTCGACTCTACTCGACGATTTGGACTCTCAACTCGTCGAGTCGCACCATAAATCTCAGAATTTACCCTTACAATGATATATCTAAAAATCTGGATGTTACGCTAGGCAGTTACCGGTTGAAAGAGACCGAAGGGGTAGGCCAGCACCCTGATAGGCTAGGCGGTACCGGTTGAAAGAGACCGAAAGGGTAGGCCTGCACCCGGATATGCTAGGAAGTATGTGTGTTGTATGGTATGTGGTATGATGGGGGAACTCACTAATCTTCGTGCTTACGGTTTATAGTTTTGGTTTCAGGTACTTCTTCTTCGAAAGGAAAGGAGTCGGCATGATCACAGCACATCACACTATGATTTTCCGCATAAGAGATCTGTGGGAATTATACTCTGACATTATTTTACCATGACATGTTTTAGCTAATTTAAAATGAAATTTTTAGCTATGAATTTTGGGGTGTTACATCAGCCCTTTGTGTTATAACCATTAATCCACGTAGGAACATGGAACTTATTGGTATAGATCTATAGGGGTCGATAGCCTCGTTGTAGTTTCTAACTACAACCATCGACTGACGGGTCAAAACAAGTATAATTGTTCTTTGTCGTATTACTACACGATGTAAGTGATGCAATTATGATAATTAAGGAACCTCTATTCACAGTGCTCTACAGAGGCTTTCTCAGTCACTAGTGTCGGCTATAGGCTCACATTAGAACCCAAAAATTCATTCTAGAATGTGTGGGAATAAAATAGAAAGATTCATTCTAGAATGTGTTGATATACAAAACTCTCTTACTTGTATGGGTTTACGAGGGTAAGATGTGTTGAATTTTATACTTTTACGAATCATTAGTTTACACACACACTTGATTATAAAAAGACAAAATTATAAGAATGGTCCTTGTGGTATGTCAAAACTCGCATGTTTGTCCCAAAAACGTTTGGATTAGCATCAGTGGTCCAAAAGTTTCATTTTCTTACGAGTTTGGTCCAATTTGGTTTGAACTTTTTTTGTGAAGATGATTTTTCCTTTATTATTTAATTTTCTAATTTTCTTTTATTACCAGCAATTTAACAATTAAAAATAAAACAAAAGTTAAATACCATCTCTCTCTCTCTCTCTCTCTCTCTCTCTCTCTCTCTGGGTTTGTTCTTCAAAACTCAAGAACACACATAGTTATGAAATAACATAGTTTAAGTTTTATTTCTTTGTTCTTCAATATACACACACATACACACACTCAAGAACACATACACACACACTCTTATAAACACATACACTGAAGAATATTTCTTGAAACCCTTTCGAAAATGAGTTCTGGAAACGAAAATAAAAACCATTCAATTCACTGTTAGAGAATTTTATGTGCATTGAAGAACAAAATCTATTTGAATCAGGGATTATATCCAAAAACACACTCAAATCGATGCAATCAACTCTCCTTCTCAAATGGACCAGATGCGGATCTCAAGTTCGGTTTACCCACACAAATGGAGCAGCCAATCTAACAACACCCCCACTACCGTTGTTGCTTTTTCATCTTCGCTCATGCCTCAGCTTCAGGCGCAAGTCATGGCTTCTCGGGCAACTGACATTGACGCCGACGACGATGGTCTTGACTTCTGATTTGTCCTTCCCTCTATAAACAGGAGTTCTGCTGTTAATGCTCACATCCTCGCACATAAATAACTTTACCATTCAAAATAAGAACTGATATATGCACCTTTGTTTCCCTTTCAAACAGTTTCAAGAACTAAAGTGATTCTCCAACCACCATCGCATAGCAATCAGTCGCCGAAAACCCTAGCAATCAACTGTCACGTCATTCCGACGAACACTAGGTTTTTAAACGGTGATGTTGTCATAGAATGAGAGATACAAATTGATTATTTTCTTGTTCGTTGAGGTAGGGTTTGTCGAGGCAAAGTGGGGTGATTTATGATCTTTGGTTGAAGTTCTCTTAGGGGTTTGTTTCTTTGAGACCTCTGTGGTCGAGGTAGCAGCGGCAATTGATGTTAGGAGGGTAGATGCGTTGGATCGATGACCACAAGAAATATCAAATATAAATAAACACATCAATTCACACACATAAACCTAGAAAAAGACACGCCATTCTAGTCTTCTTGATCTTTCCTCACTTGAATGGGTCTTCACATCTCTTTCTGATTCTCAAATGGAGTTGACTTTACTGGATGTTTAGCTTATTCGATGTTGAGAGAGAGAGAGAGAGGATATTTTATTTTTGTTTATTTTAATGTTTTTTAATTGCTGGTAATAAAACAAAAATGGAAAATTAAATAATAAGGGCAAAATCATCTTTACAAAAAAGTTTAAACCAAATTGGACCAAACTCGCAAGAAAATAAAACTTTTGGACCACTGATACTAGTCCAAACTTTTTTGGCCTAAAGATGTGAGTTTTGACAAACCATATCGACAATTCCTGCAATTTTGTCTTATAAAAATGCACGGAGTTAGAACGATAAACAAAACTCTTTTACTTGTATAGGTTTACAAGAGTAGAACATGTTGCATTTTATGCTTTTATAATTCATTAGTTTAAACACACTCTTGATTATAAAAACACTAGGATTCAAAGTTATAAACATAAATCGTTTTACTTGTATGTATTTTACAATGGTCAACGTGTTGCATTCTTATAATTTTATAATTCATGAGTCTAAAAACACCTCTGATTATAAAAACATACATAGTGAAAACCTATAAAGTTCACCAACATTATTGTAAAAGTAATGTTTTCAAACGTATGTATCTTCAGGATCCTAGGAGCCGGAAGACACACTCTATGTGCTAGTGAATAATACATTTCTTTGGTTGGCTGATCTGCTAGGCCTTTTGTTTCATTTTTTATTTATATTTGTAGAACTTGTTCTATTGTTTTAAGATTTGTTAGACTGACGACAATGTAATTCTTCATACCAATTTTATGGAAGAATGTAATGGTTGTAGTATTCAATATATGTTGTGAACCGTGAGCCAATGCTTACGTCGCAACCCCAGCGTTTCCGCCGTTGGTCAGGGTGTGACACCATAGCTCTCGCTGCCCAATCTTATAGCGTACTTGTTTTACCAAAACAATTCCTTTTTCCTTAACCAAAGAAACTAGGGGTTTAAATTCTACAATCTTTAACGATAAAACATTTTTTATATAATCATTCTTTGTCACACCTAGTGACGTATTCACACTTTTTCACATATAATCATTTATTTTCAGAGAAACAAGCTTAGTCACACCTAGTGACGATTTACAATTTTTCATATAAAATCATTTACTTTGATATGTACTTAGAAAATCAACATGTACTCACATGGCTAGTAAGTGATGACTAACTTGCACTCTGATCTTGCATCCTATGTTGCTTCGTAACCTACTTGCTTGTCCATAGTTGTTTGGATAATACACCATGTTCCTTAGAACTTGTACAAACTTACTATCACAACTACTATAGTGGTTCTTTATCCGACCATTAACCAAATCTGGTAACAGTTTATTACCAGACTCATCGAGTCCCGTATTGTAACTGCTAGACGACTTAACACCATAAATTGTTAATCTGATCACTCACTTCTGGTCATCCCTTAACATACAGTTTATAACCCTCTTTGTCCGACGCGTCTCGCCCTACATGTGTCATCCTAGAATTTTCCACGTGTCTCCATCTTCCGACACGTATCCCGCCACCCGGACAAGTAGACGTGTCTCACTTCTGACTTTTATTGACTTTTTCTCGAATAGCAATGCACTTTCTATCTCAACTTCGGACGACCGTAGCTTTCTGATATGGACTAGGATTTTTACAAACTTTATATCCACGAAACCTTCTCCGTGTGCACTACGGTTTTATTTTAATAATCATTCACTAATAAATTTAAATTTTTTTGTTAATCATTTTCTTAAAAAGTGATGATTTTCTGGTCGTTATAGGTGGAGAATAAGAAACCCAACCGAGTGGATGGGGCTACTGCTAGTTTTTTGTCTGTGGACATGTTGTTGGTAGCGGTCATTTCGTTGGCGACTGCCTCTATTTTTTCGGTTACGAAATAAGTATCCTTAGAGATGTCGAGTTTTCCTTATGTTTCATCGATTTTGATGGTTGATAATGACTTGTTCATTTCTGCTCTAAAAGAAGCATGGAATGGGATTATGTGAATGTTGGTAAGGGAGAACGATGTCATATGATACTCGCAATCCAATAAAACCGAGATGAGATGTCATTTATAGTGTAAATAACAAGATGTTTGTTCAGTACAGTCAGGATCAAGATTTTCAAGGAGATCCACAATTCTTTTCATCTTGGAGCAATAGGATGTTGGGCGTAAGTAGGATGTTGGACGTAAATGACACGTCTCTCATTGCAATGTTGCGAAGTTCATTATCGAGTTGCATTGTCACGGAAAAGCTTCTCTAGATGATCATATGACACATCAATATGATCGGTGACATCATATCTATCGCAGTGAGTTGAGAAGATCTTCATCCAAGAATTTTAGTTTAACTTTTTAAGGTCAAGAACAAGAGGGATGTGGAAAATGATATATGTAATCCCGCATGCTTTGTGTGTAAATTTGTTTTGGTTTTTAGTCATGGATGAGAGATGAGAAGAAGGCAAGAAGCCGAGAAGTGTTTGGAGGGCACTAGAGTTTCGGCCTATGAAAGAAGCCTCCGCGAGCAAGAGAGAGAAGAGAGAATAGGAATATATGATGGAGATATATTATGGATACGGCTGGATACCTTGTTTTTGAATTAATGGTTATCATGATTGCCTTCCAAAATGGTACAGTACAAGTATATATACAAATTACAAAGAGCCTTGGGCCGATGCATGATATAAAAGTACAACATGGGTTAATAGCTAAGTATACAAAACACTAACATTTATAATTGAGTTTCATCAAAGTTCAATAGCGAGTTGCAAGTGCTTTACAAGTTCGGTTGATGTAATACGAAATTCATCCTCAATCTGCACGAATAAATTAAAGATAACAGCAGAGCATATTAAACGTTGATGCAAATACTAACTTTCGTTTGAATGCGTGCAGAAACATGATCAAAGAAAAGAAGTAACGAAACGTCAGAAATACTTAATTTCAAAATTTATGCATTTTCATGTACAGAACATAACTAAATATTAAAGTCACTAATATCTTTAGAGGCATAAAACTGGTAGTTCTATAAAATCTAAATGACCTGTCAGCAATATCGACATTTATTTTGATCAAAATGACTAGTTTCACGTCATGTATCTAATTTATTTTTAGCCTCGCAAATCATACACACGTAGAGCGGTAGCTTCCATAACATGCAACATAAGCAGGCACCATAGTACACTCCTATAAATCAAATTGTATGATTAATTATGAGAGCTAACACTAATTCTCTCATGGTATCATGGATCATGATCAGGATTTTAAAAACTATATACCTGAGCAACAATATTGATTAGAAGGGTGGTCTTAGCAAAAGGCATGGCAGAGCTACTGATGATGGATAGTCCAAGCTTCTGCATCTGCGTTAATGCTTTCACCAAGGAAGAAGATTTTTTTTGACACTGGATTCTTACAAGCACATTTCTTCCTGTCATCACAACTTCAATATCAGGAGATAATCCCTCGAGTTCCTTCACCCGACTTTGAAGTTCTTTTATGTAATTAGTTGCATCTTCCAGTACAGATGCTTTGTCCATCTACAGATTGAGAATATTACACTTAGATTTCTATATTATCTCTAACACTTTTATGATTTGATTGTACTGAAAAGGGTAAACTTAAGTTGTTTGAGGAAGGTAGATAACTAGATATGATGATAAATATAATTAAGGTTTCAATAAAAAGAAAAACAGATACGCACCTTCTTAGGGTTAGGAAGGAGGGAAGATAAAGAAATGAACTGCTGATTCAACCTTTCTCTTTTCTTCCTCTCCGCCAAAACATGATCTTGTGTCTGAACCGGATTCCTGGAGATGGTCGTAAACTTTGTGGGATCAGCAGCTTGGTACCCAAATGAATCATGAAGATGGACGATTTCTTCTTTAGGTTTTAGATCTCCAAAAGAAATGGTAAAAGTGTTTGATGATGGAAGACTAGTAGCAAGAAGAGGCTCAAATGTTAGAGAATGTCTGTTAATATTACTGTGCATCTCTTCTACCTTAGGAAGTTTGATTTCGCAATGTTGAGATTGAGATGATTGGTTGTTTTCTGTGTAGAGTTCTGAGGAGAATGAATCAACACTGAAGTGATTAATGGTTTCATAAAGATTGCAAATCTGATCGGTATTTTCGATTCCCTACAATATAGATCGATAATCCGTTAAAATAAATTCATCAAGATTATATTTCTATCCTGATAAAATCAACATAAGCGAACTGAAACTATGTTGCTTACAATTTCTGATAACCAAGCCGGTGACATATCCATTACTGCTTCGGAGCTTAATATGTTCAACTCCAGGATAACCTGCGATAATATATACAGCCATAAATATATCGGGTAAGCTTTGCTTTACTGATCAAGAAAGCAAGAACTGATGATATGGGTTGATTACTACTATGAAGCTCTCGATATTGAGCTTTTCAAAGAATGATCTTCATGGATACTTATGAGTCAGATCATGAAGATAATCCTTAATTTTAGTGAGACTGATCATGAGATGGGTGAAAGATTTACCTTTCAAAAACGAGAAAGTGTAGCTTAAATTTATCAGGTAAGCTTTGTCTTGTCTATTCAAATTAGAAAGAGTGAAATTCCTTGGTGTTTATATAGTAGCCCGAAGTCATGTTGAAAGGAATAACTTATCACTTGCTTCCAGAAACGTGCGAATTACCATATAATATTTTAATCTTATGCTTAGATGTATGGTCAAAGAAAGCCAATTAATCACACATTATGGGAGATGATGACATGTTATTTTCAAAACATTTTGAATGTAAAATAATTATTTCTTTAGTAATATTAATAGATGCAACAATATTAATAAAAATAAAAATAATAATAATAATAAATGGAAGCTAGCAACAGTACAAACCCAAAGAGCATATATATAACAAGCAGACACATAAAAGGAAAAACAGAAACAGGAGAATAAAACCAACAAAGCACGAATTTTGGAAGACTTCAATGATAAATCCAAGAACTTTTGAGGACCCCTCACCACAACGTTAATATTTTATTTGGTCAATTCACCTTTAAACAACTTAATAGAATTAAAAAACTTGTAGATGACTTATTTTATTATCACCATATCACGAGGCTAATTTCCTTTAGTATTCTATATAGGTTATTCGTCTTTTTCTATCCTATTTTACATTTGCTTCAAAGTATTGTTAGTTTTTTAAAAGTAGTTAAAGGATAAGTCTAGTAAGTCTAGCTACATATAGCTACAATACATAATACATAATGTAAC